GGTACAACCGCTCCCCCTCCACCGCGCGCATGCAGTACTTTCGTGTTAAACCGAGTCCCTTAATTGAAGTAGCAGCCTTTTGAATATTCTAAACGACGTACTATCTGAAACAATATAACACAGAGCGGTCAATGATGATTCTCGAACACGCATCAAGATATTCATGATATATACATGTAATTTAAACTTTAACCCTTTTTTGTTACAATATTTATCTCTTTATTTATAGTTATAATTTTTTTTTAAATTTCTTTTTTACTATTATACATTTAATTTATATAATATTATGTCGATACATTGTACACTTTTATAAAAAAATATCAAAAAACATATATCGAAAACACAGAAGAAAATGTGAAAGAGTTGGGGCACAGCCTGTATGTAATATTTTTTCAATACTCAAATTAATTCTCCAAAGAACTGACGTACGCAAATGCGCGGCCTTTCTCTGCGCTAATAGACTCGTCTGCTCTCTTGCGCTTTCGCTTTCTAAAGCACAACGTTGACCCCGGAGTTCTGGGGATAATCGACTGAAAATAACCCCAAGAGACGAGCACCGGGACCCCCTCTGGATCCCTGATAGAGTCGTCCTTCAATACAGCCTGGTGCATCTGTTCCTTTTGAAGAGGACGAATGACTCCAACAATTAGAGAAGCAGCAGCAGAAATCCTATCAAGAGACCGCGCGCTGCACGACCTGCGTCTTATTTCTCGCTTACAATGATCGGGATCGTCGAGATTACGCGATCGTACATCTGCAAGGATATTATCCGAGAACGTAATAGAGACCGGCATCGATCTCAGTTAACCCTGAGAAGCACGAGCAAGTGAATAGAATAAACGCGATAAAGAGCCATAAATCTTTAAAAAATTCTAAAAAAGATAAAACAAATACAAAATATTTTTTAAGGAATATTTTATAAAAATATAAAGTATTAAATTATATATTTTGATCTTAATCTCACATTTCTATATTTAAATAATTTAATAAACTTTATAAATTTGAAATAAAGAAAGCTCTTTTAAATTTTAATCAAAGTTGTACAGTAAGCGAGAACCAAGTTACGTGATACTTTAAATAATATCAAAGATCAGAGATGAGCTCCTATTTGACTTCATCTCATTATAGTGTGGTTAAGGATTAACGTTAGTATACAGTCAGATATAATTGACTTTTGTGCTTATAGAATTTCCTACAATTAAAGCATTTGCATAACGCAATGGCGTGTCGGAAATATCTTTTCATCAAACTGGTGAGCAACCAGCACGGTGCCATGTATTATATACACAAGGTGATAGATTGTCGGGGACATACACGCTAGGGGGGTTTGTTCGTTTAATACTCATCCCGGATTATATATATTCAATAGAAACACGACGCAGAAGTGACTGCTTGCTTGTATTCAAATTATATATAAGAACTGGCAAATGTATATTTTTCTTATCTTTTTAAACCGTTTCAACATAAGTCTCTTAAATAAACTGAATATAAAACAAAGACAAATAAAAGTATTCACCTCGTCATAAAGTAAATTTGCTTGTTTCACGCGAACTGTAATAACACGTTTCACATTTTTTTCTATATAATGCAAATTCTAAAAATATATATATATATATATATATATATCACATGCGTTTAAGAATAAATCGAACGTAGGAATGCTGAGAGCTACACAAACTTAACTATCTTGAAAAAAATATCAAGTACTTTTATCGCTACCTATGCATCACGAGGGTTGCTCGACTAAAAGACGCTTTACAAAAACGGAATGCCCGGCTTTAAATCCTAGCTGATTGCAAGTTGCTGAGCAGCGTCGTGATTACCAAAGCGCAGTCTGTGCGATCGGCAGTGGTTCGCGGTTGAACGAAAGTGCTAAACGACCAATAAGGAAGTAATAGCAATACACAAAAAGATAAAGAGAGAACGAGATAGAAAGAGAGAAAGAGAGAGAGTGGGAGAGAGGCAAAACCCTGGTGCTGGACCGGCGAAGGGGTGGCTCCGCGCGCAATTACGGATTTTGAGTGACAGATGCTCGCCCAGTCGGCAGTCGGAAGATTAAAACAAGTAATCAAAGTCCCAGTAGCCACCCCGGGATGGATATGGATGGATGCACGCCTCTAGCCCCTTCTCCCTTGCCCCGTTTCACCCTGCTGTCATCCCGTGCATCCTCTTCTGGTTTCCCCTTCCCCTTCCGTTTTCCCTCTCTTTTGTCGTGTCTTCTCGCTTCAAAACCCTCGTACCCCACGAGTTTTGCTCCTCCTTTACTCATCTTACTCCCTCCTGGAAGTAGCAAACCACCAAGAGGGTAAGCCCCGCTACTATAATATCCACCTATAGCCGTCATCAAGGCGCGCCTTGAATGCTCCTTTAAGAAAATGTTCCTTTCGCGAGCAGTCGCGTAGGAAGATTATTAGGCGTCTTGAAGAGACGGGTGAGAGCGGAAGGGGACTGGAAATGAGTTATATTCAAACGACGCGAACTCTCTATCCTACTTAAAGTGCTAAAGATGTGTCTCCAATGCGTCAATAATAAAGATTCTGTAGAGGAAAAAGAGATGAGAATCATTATCACTATAATGACAATTTAAAATATCAAATTTTACCATAAATATAAGTCTAAATATAAATTTAACACAAAATTCTGAAAATAATACATACAGGCTTTATCTCTGTCAGCAATTTAATTATTATTGAATATATTAATCTCTAATCTAAATATTATAAATATAATTTTTTTTATGTGTGGCCTTAAGAGAATGAGATCATCGGATTTAAATACATTTTAGTCACCGTTGTGTGTGTGATTACAAGATAACAATCTTCGATAAAATAAAAATTAGTATAGCACTTGTCAAGATCGTAAGGCGTAGGCACAATTAGGACCCGAAACCTTACTGTTACACGCTCGACTATCCCACAATAGAAGAACCGTAAACCGAGGGCGGTGGACAAGAAATCCCTCGATTAGACTCTGCAATATAATACCGATATAATCTGACCACTTAATCGGCAAAATATAATAATGAATCGGACAATTATGGTTGCAATCTCTCTTGCCCCGTGGCTACAGAGTACAAAGCAAATTATTTCAGAAAACTACGGATAATATTGCCATTGATCTGAAATGTACTTTCAGCGTATATTGATGTAAATACTAATGAAATTTATAAATCGAAAAATTAACGTACCATTTTGCTTTCTATAAAGCAAGTAATAAAAATAAAAAAAATTACAATTGCATTTACTTCTTCCTTACTTTCCAATATCTCTTTGTCAAGATTTGATATCGCTTTTATATTTTCAAAAATGATAAGAACAAATGTATACGCGAAAATAAAATGAAATTCCATTTTCCATTTTACCCAAGTAAACCCTGTATTTCTGTATCACCAGAGTAATTCCTTTTTCTCCTATTTTACACTTTGCGACGATAATGAAGCCGCGTCGCTGCGACATACAATTTGTCGGCACACGGCGGTACCGCGAGACACGAACACGCTACACGGTGACGCGAATGTGATTAGTCTCGAGATTTTCAAGCGCGCGCGGGGATGGCGTACCAGGATTGGATTTGGCGGGGGCGCAGGGAATGGAGGATGAGCCGTTTATCTCAGGCGTCGCTTTTCAGCAGTTTTTCTCCCTCTCGCGATCTCCCGTTGTGCAATGCGCCCCGACTCTTTGCTTCTCGAGGCTCTCCTCTGGTTACTTTATCCCTTCCTCCCGAGGCGTTCCCCGAGCCGCCGTAGTGCCCCGAGACGCGTGTATATCCTCTCTCCTCCTCACGAAATAATAAGCTCGCTCTACTAAATTTATCATGAGCTTTTAGAAGCGGCAGCCTGTGCCAACAACGCACCTGCCAGCTTACCTGCCTGCTGACATTGTAACAGCTTTTAATTCCGTCATCTACCTCCCGTGCTGCGTTCTAATTATCTTATGGCATCCGCACATATACATCTCGCTCTCGTGTTACAACGTAATTTTAGCAACCATGCTAATTGCTCATATTCTACGCTATCACATTTTCGCGTGAATTGAACAACCATTGCTGAGAAATAATTCGTGAAAAAAATAATATAAAAAATAATATAAATATTTGTATATTTATATCGTACATTTTATATTATAAAAATAAGATTATTTTTATAAATGTTTTAGCATATATTTTCTTCATACAATATGAAAAATTGAAAATGCTAGATGCCATATATAATTCAGATATATTCTATCTATTATTTATGAGTCTGTATGTGTGTGGACACACATATATATAAAAATTGAGTTCTAATTAGGATATTATACCTATACTTTATGGAGTTAATGATGTGTAGTTTTTGATTTAAAAAAATATAAATTGACATGCTGAAATTTAAGTTCTGTATATAGATATCGTAAAATTAAGAGATTTATTTTATTAATCTGTACAATCTTAAAGTGTATATACACACATATATTTCAGCATAATTTCAGATTATTTCTTTTACTGTCCAAATCACAAAGTATATATATAATATTCCAATTATAACTCATAATCTTTTATGCCAAATAAAAAAAAAAAGTTAAATTTATTAATAATTCAAATAATTCAAATAAAATCATCTTCTAATACAGAAAATTTTGTACTGATTTTCAATTCCGTCCAAAATTATTATATGATAATTCTCCAAATAGATTCAGTTGTTAATTTAATCTAAATAAAGAATGTAAATGGCGCTCTTCTAAGAAAGTATTTATAATTTATGAATGTATTTATCAATTGCAATCACGAACGGGAAAACGATCCGACACAAAACATTCTAGAACTTGTAGAAAAAAATACTTAAACAACAATTTAATTAACTTAACCAATTCAAAAAAATTGGTTTTTTTTTTGCTCGGTATCTGCTACATAAATTATATCTCCTGAATACGATTTCTCTTCTCTTAAGTCCTTCACACAAATTCACACAAAAGTGTGAACATAGCATGTATATGAAAGGAGCATATAAATACGATATTATGTAGATTGTTTTATGATATATTTTTGATTTTGTTCATTTTATATAGTAAGTAATTGAAATATTAATATTATTATACATATCTCTATTATATACATTATAGCTATATCATATTAAATTACATAATTAACATAATCTATTATATCGTATATGTCTGCCCTTTAAAGAAATCATTAAATGTATTACCTAAATTAATTAACTGAGTCAAAGTACTCCTTGCTGTCTTTTGGATTTGGTTTAATAGTTTTGGAATCTGGCTGCCAGTTTGCAGGACACACTTCTCCATGCTTCTCAACAAATTGAAAAGCCTTGATTAATCTCAAAGTTTCTTCAATGCTTCTACCAACCGGAAGATCATTGATGCTAAACTGTCGAAGAATTCCCTCCTTGTCTATGATAAAAAGACCTCTAAGCGCAATACCCGAGTCTTGCAACAGAACATTGTATTTATTTGATATTTCCTTGTTGAAATCACTTAAAAGAGGATAACCCAAGTCTCCTCCAAGGCCACCTTGTTTCCTAGGAGTATTAATCCATGCCAAATGGCTGAAATGTGAATCTGTTGAAACTCCAATCACTTGTGTATGTAACCCTTCAAATTCTGATATTCTTTCACTAAATGCTATAATTTCCGTTGGACAAACAAATGTGCTACAAATAAGATATGAAGATTACATAGTATAGATACATTATAGAAAGAATAAATAACAATTTAAACAAAATTACTTACAAGTCTAATGGGTAGAAAAAAAGAACAACATATTTCCCCTTATAGTCGCTAAGTTTAATTTCCTTAAAGTCGCCTTTAACTACTGCGGTACCAGAAAATTCTGGTGCAGGTTTCTGAATTTGTGGCCAACTGCTAAGCAACTTTGAACTCACTGTGAAATTACGTACACATTCTGTTATCAATGTATTATTTGTTTTTGCCAATGATCCAGTTGCAGTGACAATCTGTAAATACATATATCCATCTTAAAAAGGCAAGAATTACACTTAAATCCACTTTAGACGATTCGCGACAAAATTCAAATCTATTGTATAATTTTATGTTCTAGATATTCTAATGTATGTGTATATTCTGATATGTATTTAGTATATGTGTAAGTTTTTACTTCTTCAAATGTTTCTTTTCTATTACATGATATATAAAATTATAAATAGAGAATTCTATGTTAAATGTTGTCATGAATCAATACCTATAATCTAAACGAATTTTACAATTACATCGAGATATATTGCTTGTATTATAACCGCGTTTGCATGCAATGAATCGGCAAAATGCATAAATATGTAATTTTAATCAGAACATGACAGAATATGTAACGGATTTAGTAACGCTTACCAATTTTCTGCCTTGTAAGTACAGTGGAGCAAGTGATCGAAACATTATAAAAACAAAGAATATAAAGTTTGTAATATAATTATTTGTGGAACTCCGGTAGACGTAAAATCGCAGGTTCGAAGAAATCTTAATATAGTAAGTTTCGCCAACCTTATCTATCCTTTTTTTTTTAATGTGTGTAGGTATTTACTTCGCAACCAGCAGTTCCGCGTGGAGTGAAAAGGTTATGAAATACTTTGAGATGTAAGAATATAAAGAAATTCTCTCTACAAATTTTATCGCATTTATATGTTAAATATTACGATCAATATTAAAATAGCATACGAGATACTTACGATCATCAATACAAAAATAATTATAAAATTAGAAAGGCAAAAGTTGGCAACACTTACTCAAATAAAATCAGTTTACATTTAAATTTGAAAAATATACTTTTTAGAAAGAATTGTTGTATAAATTGTTGTATATGCGCAAAGCAAAGTGATTAAAAAGAGCAATCCTATTATAATCGAATACAAATTATAATATTTACCAAATATATAATGTGATTTATGTAAAAAATATATACGTAAATAGCACACATACAAAGCAGATTAATATATAATCATGTTTATTCAAATAACAACATTATAGAAGTTTTGTATTCGTTTTTTTTAAACGAGTAAATGTGTATACACATACATCTCTAGTAAATAAGTATAGTATGTATATATCTCTGTATATAAAGGTTTCAATATAGGATCACATTCAGAAAATGTTTGATTATTCACACATGTGTATACATATACACAAACTCTGCATTATCTTTATCAAATTGTATGTGTGTGTATATATATATAATTAAAAATTAATATCCACCAAGTGCATAAATCTATCATATCATAAACGCCTTAAAAAATACTATTCAAAGAAAAATTTTGATGAATTATTGGACTAAACGGAAAATTCGTTCCATTCAACCCAATATTTCTGTTTAACTAAAACTTCAAAGTAGAAAGATTTAAAAGTAAAAATTTAAAATTGATATAAGAGAATAAAGGAATTATTTGTCGTATATGATATAGGGATAAAACAAATACAACAGTTAAGAACTTTGATAACAATTCCATGTTAGACCTTATGAAACATGAATCAGCTTTTAATTCAGCAACGTCATTATCGTGTCGCTAAGAAGACGAATGATCACAATGTGCGTTAATTTTTAATAACTGCACAAAACAATATTTTCTTATATAGATCTTAAACATATTATATCAATTTGAACAAGTCCTTTCAATTGGAAGCCGTGGCGGTCGCACTCGGTGCGGGAGTGGACGCTGATGTAGATTCCTCCGTAACAATACGTCGATTTTTTTTTATCCTCTTCCATTCGCCATTTGTATAGTTCATTTGAAAATGGGTTTCAACTAACATCGGAACGGTTGTTCCATCCGACTGCGTTACTTCCTCTATGTTTTCTGACAGCATCACTGTGACTATATTGCCCAATTTTGGACAAGGATTATCTGCAAACAAAATCAATAATATTATTAGCATGATTTCTAAAAGAAAAATATAAAAAATCCATACAGAAGCAAAATAGACATACCCCTAGAGCCAGCCATAAAACCTAATATAAGGGCTTTTTCTGGACGCGTTACTTTATTTGCAGTTCTAAACATTTCTTGCGCTTCCAACATTTGCTCTCGCTGTAATTCAGTAATGATAATCTCATTATTTCAAACAATATGTATATCTTATTAATTAAAACATAGCTAAATAAAAAATTTTGCACAAACTTAAGATCAAACAATGAAATAAATTAAATTTGCATAAACTTACCGTAAGAGACAGGCCTTTTCTTGTATTAGCTGCCGCATTAGGTTGCGCGGTAGTTTGTATACGTATCTGTGTGACTGTTTGAGCCGGTCTGACCGTTTGCACAGCGACAGGTGTATTTTCCACAGGTGCTATCACCGTCGATGAAACTACTACTGGTAATACAGTAGCCGGCGTTGTAGGAGTAGTTAATGTAGTAGCTGTATAACATAAAATGCTTTATAAAAATCTAAACAAAATTTAACATATCTAAAGATTATGATGTCAGTCTTACGTGTTTGCGGTGCAGTTGTAACTGAAATGCTGCTTGGCGTACTAGGTGCGACATAAGACTGCGCTGTAACCACCGCTGTAGCAGGTGCAACCGGTGTAGCAGGTGGATTTATCGAGGTTAGTCCTTGCGCGTATTCCGGAGTCGCCGGAGTTTCCGCGACTGGTGTGACCACTGAAGCTGCCGCCGCTGCAGCGGCTGCTTGTGCTTCCGCGACCTTCTTCTGTTGCTCTTCCAATTCCAACATCCTCTTCCTCTTTTTCGCTTGTGCATATCCGAGAGGTTGCTCATTAATGTCGAGTAATTTAATACCACCATCTTTTCGGATTCTACTACTAATCGATGTTCTGTTGGACATAGAAGTGCTCGTAAGTGAAGGAGATCGAAAACCACTCGTTGGCACTCTGCTTGGAATCCCTTTCAAAGGTGCTGAAAAGTTTAAATGCAATCATGTACACTGCAATGATATTGAACGAAACAATATGCATTTATAACTTTACACTTACTCGTATCAGTCATTTTTCTTGGCATGCCTCTGCTTCTTACTGGTACGGTGGGAGCTGTACTCTTTTTGAGATTATTAGCAGCGTCGGTGCTTTTTTGAAGTAATTCTGCTCTCAAGGCTGCACTTTTGGGTTTGCGCTTGAGAGTGAAATGTTTAACCGGCGTAGGTTGTTGACCTACCACCGAGATCAATGCAGTCTTGTTAAGATAATGACATTCTAAGGGAAGCATAGCAGGGTCATTTTGCTTCTTTAAAAGTTTCCGAAGGTCATTGACCAGTTCACCAAAGATAGGTCTATGATCATCTAGATCAGTAATATCTGTGTTCAAAGAACCAGTTGATGGAAAAGTTTTCATCGCTTCGGATAGCATCGATACCCATAGCTCGCTATCCAAAGACGCAACCTCAATAATCTCCTCCAGTTCCACACGCCACTGTTATCCGCACAAGTATACAGATAATAAAATTTTAATAAGATTTTACACCAGAGAAATGAAAAAGATTCTACGTTTGTTCATTAGGAGTGACAATGTTCAGTGAAGTCAAATTATGTTGTACATTTCACAGCAATTACACAACTTATTTAATTTATCAAATCGAAGAATGGTAGTTTATTGTAAACATTAACCTTATTTAGTTATTCTCTATATATACTAACCGTCTCAAAAACATCGCATCATTGAAAAAAATTAAACAGAGCGGGTAAATAATAAACGAGACTAAAAAAACTTAATAAACGAGACTAAAAAAACTTAAATATGTCATTAACTTTTGTCAATCTTACAGAGAAGGCCATCTTTTTCGAGAAAACAAACTTTTCGAAAAAGACAGAGAGAGAGAGAAAAAGATACAGAGAAAGAGACAGAAAGAAAATATCAGATGAAACTTAGCGCGCGCTTACCTCTTCCACATTGCGTCTTGGTATGTGGAAAAATGACAGGAGCAATTTGAGCTTGACCTGCGTTTGCAGGTCGGGAAAACAATCCTTGATATTCCGCAGTACCTCGGCATTGAGCTGTGAGCAAATCGAGCTGCCGGTCCAGCTATCGTTTGATGTACCGAGCTTGTTATGTAGCCACAACGACGTATCACTATCCCTTACATTCGCCATATTGGAGTCGTTTACTTATAGATTCCAAATCCGCCGCTAGCAAATCGCATCGCGTAGATATATACAGCCACGAAAATTTCGTAAACAAACTTGAATGACACTCGCGCGCTATTTTTTTTTATATATTTGCAATTTTTACATATCATTGTTTTTATCAAAAGATAAAATATTTTATTTATTTTATAAATATTTATTAATTTTTCTTATTAGGTCTTATTTTTTAGCCGCGAAAAATTTAATTGTTTGTGTTTGTTTTGAGTTTGAGTTTGTAGTTCAACTATAGTTTGTTTTAATTGTTCAATCATATCGTTATATTATCATTTTCATTGTTTTTTATTTCTTTCTGCAATAAATATAAGATTTATTTTTATATAGAATTTGTTTAAAATGCTATAACAATATTATTCCATAGATTTTTATAAAAATAATAAATGTTATCTGGTTTCCAACATATTTCGTATTTACAATTGCATGTAGAATTACAATTAATATTTTCTTTTACACATCCGCAATTTCGCCGAGCGCAATTCCCTTTACAGTTCCAAGTATGATTAATTGTAAGATTATTTTGTTGACGTTTTTTGAAGTTGTTGATGAAATTGTGGTAAGTTGTCAATTTTTTCAATATTTTAATTATCAAATCCGTTAAATTATAAATTTGCAATTCTAAATGTTTTATTTGTTCTTGCAATTTCTTATTATTTATTTCGGAACTTTCAAAATCCGTTGTAATAATTTCTTGCGCTGAAAAGTTAAATTTCTACTATTCTATCCTATATTTCTATTTATTTTTTTTACTTACCTAGACAAATTTTTGACGTTTCTTGGTCTGCTTATTTTTCTCTAATGTAGTGCTCGGATTTAGTTGCACATTTCGGCTTTCGGCCCGATTCCGTGGCCGTGGCTCACGCCTATTGCCCCCCATTATTCACCGCTCGTGCGTTAGCGACGCGAGTCGCCAGATACGCGTAACCAGTAACCATAGACATAGTATATCTAGAAATCTAGACCGAGCGTTTGGGTAAAGATACACGTAAAAAAGGACATACTCTGTTTCGTGCCCCTTTGTATGGGCGACTAATGCCCAACCAGCCATAAAAGAAAGAAGAAGTCAACACTCGGTCTAGATATACTATGTCTATGCGCGTAACTAAAGCCCGTTCTACATTAGTCGCATATCGCCAGTCGCAAGCAAATTGACCAATCACAGTCGATTATTCCGTCGAATATTCGACTGTGATTGGTCGATTTGCTTGCGACTGGCGACATACGATCAATGTAGAACGGGCTTAATGGACTTACTTTTGAAGAACGAGTTAAAATTACAAGAAAAGTTCTTCGCTTTATAGCTCTTTCTAGGATTTAAGTCATCGCATTAACTTATTTTGACGGACTTACATCTAATATTAGCATGTGTGAACATTTAAATGCAAACATTTATAATGATATTTATTTTTTTTCACATCCAACTGATAATTTTATAATATATTAATATTTTTTGATGCCGCTCATATGCTAAAAAAACGCAGCCGAAAGAGTAAAAAAATTTTGTCCATGATTTATAGAATACTTCGAAATAGCACCAAATGAACGCATATAGATTGCCAATGAACACATATAGATTGCCAATATTCTGTAAGCAAAGAAAAATTTGCCTCTTTTATTCTAATCGGTTAATTAAACTTTCGAAACTTTCACAGAGTACATCCTCAAGAGAAATCTGTGCGAAAATAAAATCAATATCAGCTATGTTTGCCCAATTCTTTTCTATTATTTGTTTAATTAATAAATAAACATTAGAGATATTCAGTTAACATTACATTACAAATATTATAATTTTTTTGGATCATTTTTTTTAACGCACTCTTTAATCATCTTAAAAATGACATTTAAAATCCACCAATCCCTCAATGAGGGATCAGCAGGCAAAACGGACAAATATAAGCACCAATCGGCAAGCTGCACCGAAGTTACAGTTTCCTGCAGTTTCTTACTTCCGCTTTCTCGATCATACGAAACAAAGGACTTGTCGAGCGTCGAGCGTCGAGCCTAGCAACCGGTGTCAATGGTGGATGTTTCTTTCTCTCAGCAGTTAACTCATCTTTCGGAATCAATTTTCAAATAAAAATTCGTGAACATGACGAACACGAATGCTATGTCAGACTCTCAGGAATCTGCACTAATGGATGAAGAAACATATAAGGTTATAGAGCAGCAGTTGTAAGTATAATTTTGATTTATTAAAATTTTTTGTTGGCTTTTGTCTATTGTATCGCATGGTAAATCTTCGATTTCATATTCGCGAACGTATTCTTAAAAGAATATATATCATACAATAAAAATACATACCATAATCTATTACATTTTTCTGTTCCTCTGTTTTTGTCCTTAAAGTGGAGGTACCCTGCCTCTACCGGAAAGTATAAATGAAGAATTGCTTGCTGTCTCGGAAGATAAGATTGACACGTGTAACAATATATATATTCCACTGGAACCTATAGGAAAATATAGAAAACTAAAGGAAGAGGAGGAAGAAATATATTATCCAGCACCAGAGCTGTTCTCTACAATGCTCAGTGATGAAGCTTTCACTGGACAATTGAATTTCCAGTACAGTTTAGGAACTGGTGGTACTAATCAGGATTGGTTGGTAAGGACTTTAATTAACTTTTTGTATTATGTAGAAACACACATTAAATTATATAACTCATAAAATTGTTATATAATTTGATATATGGAAAGATTAAACTAAATGTGTAAATTTGTATATTTTGTGAGTTAGATTGAAGTTCATTATGGAATAACATATACCTACTTGCAGACAAATTCTGCCTCTTGATGGTAAATTGATTGGTTGATTAGTTTTTAATCCTGGTTATATAATTTATATATGGAATATTCCATATGTACCACAAATACAAATCACTTCTTGAGTATTATCTTACAACACTCATGAAATGTGGGAGGATATTAAAAGTAAGATATCTTGTTTGGAGACTTGTGCTCTTTGGTATCCAGATTATTTGCAAAAGTGAATCTGCTTAAACCTGACTATATATATATGTAATAATTAAATTTATACAAAAAATTATGATGCTAAGCATTTATAATAAAATCATGTTTAAGTAGATTTTATATGCAAATTTAAAAGCTTTTTGTGTAGTAGACAGATTAATTGTAAATTTGTCAAGTATGCATGACAACATTATTTTTAACAATGACATTTTATAAACTAGAATATATATATATATTAAATATATATATTTATA